TGCTGAACTGGACGGTTGTGGAGATGATTTTTCTCGTTGCGCCCTGCAGGCAGTGGTGGATGCCGGACACAGGGGGCGCTAATGTACCAGCGCTGAACGACCTGATCTCGGTGTGGGGGATGGCGTTCAGCGACGGCCTGTACGAGGGAGACTTCACGTTGGCCGATCATGACAGTGAGACTCCCAAACATTCCTCATCTGCTGTTTGATGTCGCTCCTCTCATTACACATGTGGTGTTACTCGTTAGCAGTAAATAAAGGTCTTCTCTCCTCCACCCTCCTGCTCTCAGTGTACTACGCCTCAGGGTGCAGTATCGCCCGGTTCCCAGAAGATGGAATAGTGATTGCCAAGAACCTGAAGGACCAAGGTACCCGCAGGCCTCTTAAAGTCCTGAACCCGGCGCAGTTCTTTTTTTTATTCTGTCTTTTCTTCAGATTTAACAGTTTGTGTGTTGTTGTTTTTTCACAGGTCTAGAAGTGTTAAAGCAAGAAACCGCCGTGGTGGAGGGAGTTCCCATCCTGGGACTGTACCAAACGCCGTCTGACGGGGGAGGTCGCATCGCTCTGTACGGAGATTCGAACTGTATAGACGACAGCCACAGACAGAAAGGTAACCTCCTCTGGTCTTATTCACGGTTAATCCTCTGAACCTCAAGCAGTTCTGGGTGTTTCTTTTGCTCCTGTCACATTTTTTACAACATTATAAAGTCCTGCACCTAAAAAAAAGTTGTGTTTTTGACCCATTTTGACAGTTTTGTGTGTTTTCTTACTTTAAAAATAACATTTCTGTTCAGTCGACGTGGACATTAGTCGTCAGGAACGCCCCGACTCGTGTGCCTTTGTCCAGTAAATCTAAAGATTCCTCCAGTGTGTTTACCTGCTTCATCTCTGGTGCTTCCTCGTCCGTCCAAAGCTGTTGAAACTAATATGATGGGGGTCATAGTGAGCAAAGAGAAAGAGAAACAGAGCCCAGAAATGTCTTTTGTGCAGAATGACAAAGTTATAACACCATTAGTCATAAGAAAGGTTCATTTTATTGACTGCTTATTTGAAAAAAGTTGAAATAAATCTGGAATCTAATCATGTTTTACTACTTTTGAGTTTATTTTCTACTCTCTACTCTGCGTAAACACAGCCTGCAGTTCAGCCTAGAAGTCCCTCTTTTTTTTTTATCATATATATCAATTAGCACCATATTCAGACAAGTTCAGTGCGTTGTGTTTAATCTGTGGTGCTAAAATAGTGAGTTACAGGAAGGACAACAACAGCTCTCTCTCTCAATATTTGTGTTATATTCCTATAACATATGTAATAAATGATGTTATAATATTGTTACGCCTATATTCTCTACTTTCTTTCATAAATAAAAGATTTAAAAAAGAAGTTAAATGGCTTAATAGTCTAAAGAAACAATGATAATCACAGCGCACAAAGTCATACATGCAGAAAAGATTTACAGATAAGAGCGACAACAGTAAAGTCAGTTGGAGTTTGACAGGAGCTCAGAATATTTCAGCTTTTTTTTTTACAGAATCTGTTTTTAAGTGAGCCTGTTCACAAATTTGTCCTTCAAAGACAGTCAGAAAGTTAAAAACCTGATCATTCTGTCAGTTTTTTACTCTGATGATGTGATTTTAGTGATTCTGCCTTTCAAACCTCCTTCAGAGGGTTGACGCTCGGCTCCAGAGGCAAAGAGCTCAGACTGACGTCTTCACTGATGTGTTGTCGTTGTTGTGGTTTGTTCCCTTCACAGACTGTTTCTGGCTGCTGGACGCTCTCCTTCAGTACACCTCCTACAGTATGACCCCTCCCAGCCTCAGCCACTCCCACAGCAGAGTGGCGCCCCCCGCAGGCGTCGAGCGCCCACTGCCACAGAGGCTGGAAGGTGAGGAAGAGATGCAGTTGCTCAGCTAGTGCGTGTTTTAGCCGGATGTTTTCTNTTCTGTCATTTATATTCACAAATAAGTCTCTGGTAGATCATTAAAGCCCATTATTGTTTGGCTTTATGTCTGTTTCTCTCTGTAGCTTTAGATATTCATGCCTAAACAAGCCAAAAAGCATTTGTTTATATTTAAAAACTTCACTAATCTGCTTTGCCCAGCACTGTGTGGCCCACTTCATAGAACAAAGAGGGAAATAAAGGGTTATTCTGTGGATTATTCTGCAAACGTAAAGAACATTTCACACAAACTGGCGCCGACTCAGAGGGTCAAAAACTCTTCATGTTCCCAAAGAAATGCACTCGTTAAAGGGCGGCTCGGCGTATCGCTGCAGAGCAGCTCTGCACCCGGACGACTGCAGCAGAGCGGCTTTTGATTAATTTCGCTCTTTGTGGAAGGAGTTGTAGAAACCAGAGACGATAACATTGTGCGGCAGCGAGCTCGGTTCCTCAGGTTGAAGCTCCCCGTGTCTGCTCCTTTAAAACGATCGCCCATTACGAGCCGTTTCGGTGATTAAACGCCCATTACCTCACAAACGCCTTCGCCAGGAGCTTCATGGTAACGATGGCGAGATAAACCGTTGCGTCGCAGCCGTCGCCGTCCTTCTGCAGCGTCAGACTCGAGCCGTAATAGACGTCATACATCACAGCTGCTCAGATTTCGGAGCTGCTCGTGCAGAAATAACAATTACTCACTGGTCCTCGCCGCTCCGCTCACATCCCGCCCAAGCTGTCGCGCACAATCCACAGAATTAAAAGCCTTAAACGCAGTTAAATATAGTCTTTGTGGCTTCAAAGTGTGATGCCGAGTAATTCGGTTTTAATTGACTGGAGATAGAACATTTGAGGGCTTTTCATTCACAGCTGCCTTTTTCTGGAAAAGCCGCAGACTGTAGCTGAATTAGCTCGTCTCTGCTTTTTGACTTTAGAAAATAATTTTGCCAAGAGTTTCTGTTTTTATTCTTATAAAAGCTGCTGAGCTATTTTATGGTTTTAATGTTGATTTCCTGCAGTAAAAGTGACTTTATTTCAGATTTTAAATGGATTTGTTTTAAACTTCTTTTTAAAGTTGCTGATTTCTTGATGTTTGGATTTATTTTTACTAAACTAGATGGTTATTTTTTGATTTTTATCTTGATTTACTGCAGTAAAAGTGACTTTATGTCCAATTTAAAGTGACGTTTGTTTACCCTTCTCATGAAAACAAGTTATTCCTTGACTTGTGGATTTGTTTTACCAAATTAGAAATGTTAAGTTGTGATTTTTATTATGATTAACTTCTGTAAAAGGGACTATGTCAGATTTAAAGTGAAGTTGGTTTAACCTTCTCGTAAAATTAAGTAATTTCTTGATTTCTGGATGTATTTTGCCAAATTAAATGCTTATTTCATGATTTTTATCTTCATTAACTGCAGTGAAAGTGAACTTATATCAGATTTAAAGTGAAGCTTGTTCTTATTACGGTGGGTAATTTCTGGATTTTTGGATTTATTTTGTTAAATAAGGTTTTTTTGTGATTTTTATTATGATTTACTGCTGTAGAAGTGACTTTTTGTCCAATTTAAAGTGAAGTTGGTTTAACTTTTGCTACATTAGGTGGTTATTTTGACATTTTTATCTTGATTAACTTTCGTAAAAGTGACTTTACATCAGTTTTAAAGTGAAGTTTGTTTACTCTTCTTATATAAATACGGGATTTCTTGATTCATGAATTAATTTCGCTAAATTAGATTATTATTTTATGATTTTGACTTTTGATTAACTGCAGTGAAAATGACCTTTTATCAGATTTAAAATGAAGCTTGTTCGTATTAAAGTGGGTGATTTCCTGATTTTTGCTAAATTAGAAGGTTATTTTATTATTTTTATCTTGATTCACTGCTGTGAGAGTGACTTTATGTCAGATTTAAAGTGAAGTTGGTTTAACCTTCTCTTAAAAGTGGCTGATTTCTTGATTTCTGGATGTATTTTTGCTAAATTAGA